GCCAGGGCGGCGGCAGACACAACACACACACACACTAGGGGAATCTAGTCTGTAATGGGTGACTTTCTAGATCTCCCTGATAAGACAGCTGGATTTCAACAGTTCCCACTGAAATGTCAGAAGAAAGAGCACCGCAGAAATCACAAAAGCCTGATAATAAAGCATATAAAACTTTATTTAGGCACTTACTACAGACATTTGAAACACAGGTACCACCTACTTGAGAAAAGAGATACTTGTTATAGAGAAGAGATGCAAATATATCCCTGGCTGAAGTGAATCACTTCTGGTCCAGTGAAGAGCTAATCACCTACTCTAGAAAATTACCACTAAGAAAAGCTTCTAAAAAATTAAAACTATACAATGTTCCTGCTGTGCCTGGGATGGGATCCCTAAGCAGTAAAGCATTACTTCTGTAGACAGTAATGTAATATGACCAGACAGGCTATTTTCAAAGCTCAGTAAGGCTGAAGTTCGGATTTAATTTTTCAAAACTAAGCGGCTTGGATGTTTTGATGTAAGGGATAGAGGAGTAGGAGCTCTAACTACTCCTGCTTAGCTGAGGGATGAGGAAAAACTCTCATGGAAAAAAACTCTTGTGGAAAAAACTCTTGTGGCAACTCTTGCGAATAAGAAATATCAAAAATTGTTCTTACAATTAATGAAACTAGATAAACAGGAAAAAGGTTCAACAGTATTAAATGTCTAACAAAACTTCCACATGGTGTTAACTGAAGAGCACCTTGAGGAAGTGGAGGGAATGATAGATCTACAGGGACTGGATGCTTCTGTGATGCTTTAGATGTTGACCCATGGTGTTGAAATTATGCTGGTATGTGTTCTCTCCTGCTCTTCTTTAGCCCTCTGCTGTCTCACTTCCCCAGCACCTGAAAGAGTAGTATTTGTTTTAAAATTTTGTTAACATTTAATGCAGTTTTGCCTAGGTTTCTGTTAACTGTGAATGTATTGGACAATTGTTTGTGTTACTTTGGGTACATTATCTTAAAATTTCTCCCTCCTCCTTTTGTTTTCCCCTTTTCACACTTTTGAGTTTTGAGATCCTCCCTTTAGGTCCCTTACCGAACCTGACTTTTCTCCAGATTTTTGTGCTCTGCCACTTGAAACAGCCAGCAGAAGATTTCTGATACAACCTGAGGTGCTCTGGAGCGGACAGGTGCAAAGGCAATTTGGCGATGCGCTGCCAATGAGTTAGCCACTGGAAGCATTGACTTAGTCAGTGGAAACATGAACAGCTGAACTGACAGGGCTCTCTGTGGGGTTACAGAAGGATGTGAAGTCAAACAGTTGCTCCCTGCACTCGCCTCTTATGTTCCCAGGGACTGAAGGGTGTGTTCCCTGCCTCAGAAGAGAAGCAGCCTGATACTCATGAGTATATTGAAGGCGATGCTTTTTGCCAGCAGGACTCTCAAACCCAATGCAGTCATGAACAGCATGTTCACTTTCTCCATTTTGATACCTGCTTTAAAAAAGAAGGAAAAGAGGGAAGAGATTGTGGTCTTGGTGTGGGCAGAAAAAGAAAAATCCACAAGTCATAGACAGACGAGGGAAGCAGGAACAAAGGAAAAGGTAACAGAGGAATGTGGCCAGTGCAGGGAAGAGAGGAGATGTCTGACTGACTAGGATTTTACTTTCCATTGCTTATCTCATGGAAAACTGTCATCTGTTTGACCACTTAACCTGAAACAGCAGGTACGTATTTGCAGTTCTAACACTTCTGTACCAAAGAAAACATGCTTTCTTGCATCGCTATTGAATCCGCAACGAAGTAACCTAGCTCCACTGTTCCTTTCAGCAACTAACCTTTTGAAGAGGTGTCTGTAACGTTGCAAGCATTCACTGTTACCAGTTCTTCAGATTTCTTTTCTGCTGTATGATTAAAAAAAAGACACTATAAAATATAAGTTATATAAAACAAGAATTACACAAAGTATATGTATGACCCCCCCCTCCTTCCCCAGCAATGCAGTATTGGAGAATCAGATGGGAGATCATTAATCCTGAGTTTAATTTGAAGGGAAAAACTAGCTTCCTACTCATGACTGCAGTGAAAAACAAACAAACAAAAAATCTGGGACTATTGAGTTTTGTTTTCTCAGCCTTTTTAAATGATCTTTATCACAGAAAAATTTATCCATTAGAAATAAAAAAAAAAAACAAAAAGGTTTTTGGGCAGGGGAGGGGAAGCATATTTACTTTTTCATTTTTGTTTTCATAAAAGCTATTTCAGGCTTTCTTCCTGCAGGCGTGTGTACTTCTGCGCCTAGAAATGTTTTGCCTTAGATAAGGCTAGAGTCACAAATACTGGGGGGAGGCGAGGTGTTGAAGAAAACTCCAGGTGCTTAAATAGTTGAATTAAGATCATCTATGTTAGGTGCTTTTTAATATCTCTTGGCACCACCTAATTAGGGGCCTAAATACCTTTTTGACTGCTCTTACTCGTTACTGCTGCATGCTCAAAGGGGACACTTCCTAGCATGCGCAGGAAAAATGTTGGGAGATGCACCTCCCAGCAACAGGTCGTGTTTGGACTACAACGCAGTACCTGGAAGGGTTGTGCTGGCTGCAGTCTTGTTGCCCTTGTGCATAGCCTTGCAGGTCACCGCTGTATCTGGTTCCACCACAACTACCTTCATAGTACTGTACATCCCCTCTGATGTGACAAGAGGTGCCTTCAGGTCATATACAGTGCTGCCCTTGGGTACATCAAGGCTGACATTCTTAGAGTAGAAAGTCTGTGCCAAACAAGCCACGTTCACTTTGCCACTGTACTGTTTGTGTTTCCTTGATTTAAGCGCAATGACTTCCAGGGCAGAATCGTCTTGGTTCTCTGAAAAAGAAGCATCACATGGGGACGACTTCATTTGCTGCTCTCTTTTCTGAGAGCCAAATCACCTACAGGTCAGAGACAGTCCAGACAGTTGAATGTCTTTCTGCCACTATTTCTTCCTGTTCCCCAAACAGCAGACCAAAGACAGTCTGCCTAAACAGAGGAGTTCAGTGCTGTTCCACATACCCCATGCATCCTGTCTTACTTCTCACTTTTCCTTCAGAAAGGAACAGGTCTCCTTGTAGATCCTTAGGGCATCTCAGGCAGTACTAGGTGCATATACTTTCAGAGAAACCTACCCCTGTCATTAATGTGGAAAACTAGGCAAAAAACAATCAAAAGAAATCTCTGGAATGTTTGTCCCCGATTTTCTGGGTTTCCTGATATGTTCATATCCCCCCCCGCCCCCCGGAGGTTTGGCTGCTGGAACTCAGGGCTGAGCACTGGCTGGCAAGGCGCCTGCCCTGCCAACTGTGGGATCCTCCCTGGCTCCTGGCTAGGATGTATTTCTATTGCGTGCAGAAGGCAGTTCATATAGTTATACAAACGGCTATACTTCTTTTCCCCCTTAGTCTTACAAAGGCACAGAATTGGCTATATATTCCATTCTCTTATGGGTCTTGGTTTTCTCAATGAAAAGTTTATGTGGAATGAATCCAATAATTCCTTAGCTATTCCTCAACTGAATCCTTAGGAGTAGATGTCTCAGGTACGGTGCAGTGACTATTAATGGATTTTTTCTATGTCTTTTGTGTTTGGGAAACCTCAAGAGGTTCAATGAATAAGGTATGTCTGTTCTTAGCTGCTTTAAATGCCACTGAACATATTCCACAGAAATATAAAAATAGCACCAAAAGAGACAGACTATCAGAATGCTGGAAATATGGAAAATCTAGTCATGTCTTTGGAAGAACTAGCAGTTTCTAAAACCTACTTTTCTGCAAAAGGTTCTTCTTTTTCCTTGTTTCCTGTAGAACAGGAGTTATGACACAGCAATTGCTAATATAACATGAATCTCAAATTCAGAATAAGCTTATTTTAAAAAGCATACAGGACAATTTTTGTGGGGAACCAGAACCTCGCGTGAGAGTTTCTGGGTTCTTCTGAAAAGGCAATATCGTTACTCAGTCTTTCATCCACCCACCTGTCTTTGGTTGGCTGATTTTTCTTGAAGGCCCTGGTGTTCATGGCGGAAGACTTTACCTCTTCTGCTGATAACTGCCAAGTTTATACTGGCCCAGATTGAGGTTGGGCTGATGGAAGCTTGTAGTATTTTCTGGACTTACATTAGCGGAGAGGAATGAGCCTTTTTCAGAATGGTAACTTTGGATTCCCTGTTCCCACAGGATTGGGGTGGGATTCATTTGCCCCAAAACAGATATGTAGTGGCGTATAAGATGTCCTGCAGATTGGGAGACAGCTATATGGGGCTGGCAGATGTGAGCCAGCATCTGAGAGAGCCCCATGCCTGTCTGGAGTAGGGTGTAAATAGGGGTGTAAAAAGCCACTGGACATCAGCATCTGGAAGCCAAGGGGAGTGCTGAAAGCAGTGTTTGTGTGCCTGTGTGTTGGAGGGGAGGGGCTAGTATGCAGCTGGGTGTTTTAGGACTATAGAAATCAACCCAACAAACTCACCCACTGCCCTAACTTTCATGCTCCCACACAAAAGCTTAGGCAGATGGTCCATACTTATAAAGAGCACCTTCAGAAGAGTGACATTTCTAAACGTAAAGGGTCTGTCTCAGATTTTGCTCACATTTCAAGCAGTTGCTAAGAAAATCTGTATGTCTTGCCTTTCTGTAGGAACTATTTTCTCCTGAAACCCTTTACATCTACATTTTTCCTTTCCACAAACCTTAGTGCTACAGAGTCAAAATTTCAAATGGAAGAAAGCAAACTACTTTAACCTCATCCTAGAGCTAGGCTAAGATGCCATCTTGACTGGGCATAAACAATATGGTGTTAAATTTTTTAGTGCATACTGCCGGGGGTATGAAGAAATCATGACGTATGCAGCTAGGAAACTAGCCCTGTTCCTCCTGTGAAGCTTTGTTAAGTAGATATGAGCTGAGGACTCAAAATGAAGACCTGCTTGGAGCATGCATGCTCCAGAGACGCCAAGAAGCAGAAAAAAAGTCTTGTTATGCTGCCAGCTCACATAATCCCTTTGCCCCACCTCCATCCCCAACTTTTAATACATTTTTAGTAGTAAAAGAAGTGGCACTTACTTGGCTCAACTGAGATGGAGACTCCACTTCCAAATACAAGCTTGTCTGTTGCTACTCCAAGTTCTCAACACCATGAAATACTTGCTTACAAGAAGTGCCTCTTCCTTCCCTTTTACTGCACACCATTTCAGATGAGACAGGCAGTCACATGGCCAATATAATGCATGAAGAAACTGGATGCCCTTTCAATGCTGGGCAAAAAGGTGGAGATTTTAGTCCTCTTGGAATCTGCAGGATTGTGATGAGCTCTGGGCAGGCTCATGGATTTCGGCCCAAGGGAAAGCCAAAAGTTGTTCAGTGTTTGAGTGTTATTCTACAGCAATAAGCAAAACTCTTCTGGGTTGCAGAAGCAGTCTATTTTTTGCACTTTAGATTATTTTTGGTCACCCAGCAAGACGAGGACTAGGCTAAACCTGGGCTTTCAGAATTGTTATCTTTCTGGAAGGGCCAGGGCTGAGGGTAATTTGGTGCCTCAGGAAGTCCTAATCCTGCTTTTGGTAACTCGAGAAGGGGAAAGGATTGCTCTTCATTAGGTGGAGAGATATTGTGCCCTTGGGAATATTCAAAGAATAAAGGGTTTGCTAGGGATGGGGCCAAATGGTTTGCTCAAATCCTGCATGATGGTCAAATTCTGCACCTTAGTGCCACCTGCACCTGAAGAGTTGCGTGTAAATGCATTCCTCTTGTGTACGCAGGACAATAAAGCAACTGCCGCTTAGTGATTATCCAGGAAGCAGAGGTGTGGTAGCTAGACGTGAAGGTGTTGTAAAAGACAACCTTGCAATGCAAGGGTGTAAACACAGCCACATGATACAGGCAAATCACCTTTAATTGAAACATTAACCGCTTTAATTTAACATTGACCATTTTAATTAAATTTAATTGAAACATTAACCAAGCATTTGCACTGAGGTAAGTGTATGAGCACTTCCCTTCACAGAGAGGGTTTAAACAGGACAGTCCTTGAAAATGCATATGCAATGGCTCTCTTATCCTGAGGTAGTATCTCTATGCTAACCCCATGCTAACAGCCTTATAGGGAAGGAA